CAGCTACTCAGGAGGCTGAGGCGGGCGGATTCCTCGAGCCCAAAATTTGGAGGTTGCAAGAGCAGCGATCGCGCCACTGCACTCCAGCGTGGGCGACAGAGTGAGACCTTGTCTGAAAAATAAAATAAAATAAAATAATAAAGTAAATAAAAATATTGAGCAGGGTGAGGTAAGGGGGTATTAGAACTCTATTCTGTCCGACAGATTTTTCTTAACACGCAAGTGCGCCGCCCGCCCGCTCTGATCCAGAACCAGAGAATCGGCCGTGCGAAGGCGCTCCCGGAGACCCCGCCCAGCCAGTGCCTGGAATTCCACCATCAGCGCTTTATTCTGAGGTACAGTGCTGTCCTGGGTTAACCTGAAAGCAATCTCCGATGCTCCCCTTTCTGGCTTTCGGGGAGGCAGAGACTGACCGGACACTTGTCTCTGCAGGTGCAGACCTGGGCCAAAGAGAGAGAGAGAGAGAGCCAAGGAAGTCCACAGTGGAGAGAGGGCTGTGCTGGGGGTTCCAGCAAGACTTCCCGGAGAAGGGGATCTTGGAGCTAGGCCTTGAGAATGAGTTTGTCAAATGAGGAAGGGCATCCGAAGCCAAGGGAACGGCAGGAGGGAACGCTAGGGAAGGGAGAGAATCTGGAGAGTTCCGGTAAAAGCAAGTAGGACTCTTTCCAGAAGTTTGGGCAAGATTTTCCCTGGGCCAGGGCGTGGGTTCTGCAATACTAATCCCTCCCGGTCACTGAGATGCTCTGCGTTTCCAGTCTGAACCTGAACGTAAACAGGTGTAGTCCCTCCTTTCTTGAACTGAAAAACTGAGCGCACATCGGTCCCTGCCACGCCTAAGGCTGCGGAGTGATCAGATGGAAAATGCGGCACTCAAAACCTCCCCTCGCTGTAATTTGCACTGCCCTGTGCCAAGCTCGCGCTGTCCTTTCTTCCATTCCTTATTCCTATTGTCAGTCTCGCTGCGCTAGGACCCTAAAAATTCGGTCTCATGTTGCCCGGGGAACAACATTTCGCTACACCCACCTCCATAGAACCCCCGCCTCCCTCTCTACCTTGCACCAGCCAATGGAAGCGAAGATCTTCAGGCGGTGGGCGGGACGTATCATAAGGTACCCAATGATGGTCGAGAATAGTTGAGCACTTTACTAGCCACGCCACGGAGTGGACGGGGCCTCCTGCCCAGACTTGAAGCTACACAGGCAGGTCTGGCAGGGAGTTCTCAGGTTGTAAATCCATGTGGCGGGGGCTTTGGACCCTGGCGGCCCAAGCGGCACGTGGGCCTCGCAGGTGGGGCTACAAGGGAAGGGGTGTGACAGCTTGGGGTGCTACTTGGACCTCAGACCCACTCCCAGGGTTTTAGTGGCCCAATTCCCTGCGGCAGAGCAATCATTCGCGTTCTTCCGTGCCTAAATCGTCCATTCGCCTTGCCGCAGAGCCCACATCTGGGTCTCCTTCTGGCCTCACAGTCCCTAATCAGGTCACCCTTCGGCCTTCAGAACATCCAATTTATGCATCCCCCAGCCGCAGAACCCCCCGCAACTGGGGCATCTCGCGATCATCAAGCCCTTGGTTTGCTTGACACTGAGACTGAGTCTCCCAGATGCGCTGATTCGCCTCCCCTCCGGTTCCAGACTGTGCACGCGCCGGAGCAGCGGCGCAGCAGGCCCCGGCTCCGGCGCCACCATCTTCGCGCTAAGCTCTGGCCAAGGCCGCTGCGGCATCGCGGTGATCCGGACCAGCGGCCCCTCCAGCGGCCACGCCCTCCGGATTCTCACGGCAGTCCGAGACCTGCCCCCTGCTCGCCACGCCAGCCTGCGCCTCCTCAGCGACCCCCGCTCCGGGGAGCCTCTGGACCGCGCACTGGTCCTCTGGTTCCCAGGTGAGGGTCCCCAGATTCCGAGCCTCCTGTAGGCCCCATGACTCAGTTTCCCCCTTCTAAGAGTTTGCACTGGCTGTGCTGTCCTCCTGACTGACAGCTCTCTGCCACATTAGGTCCCCGGAGTTTCACCGGTGAGGACTGCGTGGAGTTCCACGTGCACGGAGGCCCGGCAGTGGTGAGCGGCGTCCTGCAGGCCTTGGGTGAGTTGCAGCCTTGGGTGAGATGCTTGGTCCTCCCGATGGGCCTGGGTGGGGACCAGGGGGCGTCAGAGTGGGACCTTCCTGCAGGCAGCGTGCCAGGGCTTCGACCTGCGGAGGCAGGCGAGTTCACCAGGCGGGCGTTTGCCAATGGGAAGCTGAACCTGACCGAAGTGGAGGGGCTGGCGGACCTTATCCACGCAGAAACCGAGGCACAGCGGCGGCAGGCCCTCAGGCAGCTGGACGGGGAGCTGGGCCACCTCTGCCGTGGCTGGGCCGAGACCCTCACCAAAGCAAGTTCCCCATTTGTCCATTCTCTCTCTCAGAGACCCCATCTGTGCAACCCTTGCATGAGACCCCCACTCAATCCCTCATCCATTCCCTGCGTGAAATCTTCCGGCCTATGAGCCGCCAATCTGGCCCCTGAAGTCGGGCTGGATAAATTGGGTGTGGGAAGGTGGGTTTCTGGGTGCACACACCACCTCTGGTCTCCCTGTCCCGCCAGGCTTTGGCCCACGTGGAGGCCTATATCGATTTTGGCGAGGATGACAACCTGGAGGAGGGGGTCCTGGAGCAAGGTAGGTCTACCTAGTGGTGGGGGAGGAAGACACCTCTATCAGCCCTCAAAGGCTCCCCTCACTGCCTCTCTTTACCTGCCTTCTCTCACCCACAGCGGACATCGAAGTACGGGCACTGGAGGTGGCCCTGGGTGCACATCTACGAGATGCCAGGCGCGGGCAGAGACTCCGCTCAGGAGCACACGTAGTGGTCACTGGACCCCCCAATGCCGGCAAGAGCAGCCTAGTGAACCTGCTCAGTGAGTGGGAGGGGGAGGGGGCGGGGCCTAGTGCAAGGGGTGGGGTCAGGAGCTGGGTAATTGAATTGTTCTGGTCTAAAGCGCCCTCCAGATACGGGGTAGAACGTGGGGAAGAAGCTCCCTTGTCTCCACCCTCTCCTCTTCTTTTGACCCTCCCCCAGGTCGGAAACCTGTGTCCATCGTGTCCCCAGAGCCAGGGACCACTCGTGACGTCCTGGAGACCCCTGTCGACCTGGCCGGATTTCCTGTGCTGCTGAGCGACACGGCTGGGTTGCGGGAGGGCGTGGGGCCGGTGGAGCAGGAGGGCGTTCGGCGCGCCCGGGAGAGGTGGGCGGACAGGGTGGTGATGGGAGGGGAACGCGGGGCCCTTTCTCTGCCTTTTCTCCCTGCTGCGTTTATTTTTCATTCTTCCTGAATCTCAGAGAACCTGCTATGCCCTTTCAAACAGTGATCTCAGTGATTTGGTTCTTTTTTTTTTTTTTCCGAGACCGAGTCTTGCTCTGTTGCCCAGGCTGGAGTGCAGTGGCGCGATCTCAGCTCACTGCAAGCTCCGTCTTCCGGGTTCAAGCAATTCTCCAGCCTCCCAAGTAGCTGGGATTACAGGCGGGAGCGACCACGCCCAGCTGTTTTTTTGTATTTTTAGTAGAGATGGGGTTTCACTATGTTGGCCAAGTTGGTCTCTAACTCCTGAGCTTCAGGTGACCCACCTGCCTTGGCCTCCCAAAGTGTTGGGATTACAGGCATAAGCCACCGCACCTGGCCTGTTTTTGTTGTTGTTGTTGTTGTTGTTGTTGTTTTTTGAGACGGAATTTCGCTCTTGTTGCCCAGGCTGGAGTGTGCAGTGGTACGAGCTCGGCTCACTGCAACCTCCGCCTCCCGGATTCAAGCGATTCTTCTGCCTCGGCCTCCCGAGTAGCTGGGATTAGAGGCGCCCACCACAATGCCAGGCTAATTTTTTTTTTTTTTTGTAGAGAGTCTCGCTCTGTCGCCCAGGCTGAAGTGCAGTGGCCGGATCTCAGCTCACAGCAAGCTCCGCCTCCCGGGTTCACGCCATTCTCCTGCCTCAGCCTCCCGAGTAGCTGGGACTACAGGCGCCGCCACCTCGCCCGGCTAGTTTTTTGTATTTTTTTTAGTAGAGACGGGGTTTCGCCATGTTAGCCAGGATGGTCTCGATCTCCTGACCTCGTGATCCACCCGTCTCGTCCCAAAGTGCTGGGATTACAGTCTTGAGCCACCGCGCCCGGCCCCCAGGCTAATTTTTTGTATATTTAGTAGAGACGGGGTTTCACCATGTTGGCCAGGCTGGTCTCGAACTCCTGACCTCAGGTGACCCACCTGCCTTGGCCTCTCAAAGTGCTGGGATTACAGGCGTTAGCCACTGTGCCCGGCCAGTAATTTGGTTCTGATTAAATCCTGCCCCCGGCCCTGCGGACATGTTTCTCATCCCTAAGCGCTCCACCCAGCCCTCACGTTCTGCCCCGCCCCGTCGTGCTCTGTCCCGCCCTGGCGCTCCGCTCTGCCCCTCGTGGTCTACCCCATCCCCTGTGCTCTGCCCACCCCCTACATTCTGCCGCGCCCCTCGTGCTCCACCTCGTCCCCTGTGGTGTGTGTGGCCCTTCTTGCTCTGCCCCGCCACTCATGGTCGCCCCACTCCAGTGCTATACCCGGCCCCTTTTGCTCAGCCCCAACCCCTGTGCTGTGCCCTGCCCCTCTTGCTCTGCTCTTCCCTCTGCACTGTGCTCCGCCTCTCTTGCTCTGCCCCGCCCCCTGTGCTGTGCCCCGCTCCTCCTGCCCTGCCCCACCCCCTGCAGTGTACCCAGCCCCTCCCGCTCTGCCCTGCCCCCTGCACTGTGTCCCGCTCTTCTTGCTCTGCCCCGCCCCCTGTACTGTGCCCTGCCCCACTTGCTCTGCCTGGCCCCCTGCACTGTGTCCCACCCTTCTTGCTCTGCCCTTACCCCCTGTGCCGTGCCCCACCCCTCCTGCACCGTGCCCCGCTCCTCTTGCTCTGCCCTGCCCCCTGCACTGTGTCCCACCCCTCCTGCTCTGTCCCAGCCCTAGCTCTACCCCGCCCCCTGCACCGTGTCCCGCTCCTCTTGCTCTGCCCTGCCCCTTGCACTGTGCCCTGCCTCTCTTGCTCTGTCCCACCCTCTGTGCTCGGCTTGGACCCCCAACACTCTGCCAGTCCCCTGGTACTCTACTCCTACCCTCCCCACCTCAAGCTTTACAGCTCCCTCCGTGCTCTGCCTGGCCCTTCTCACTGTCCCTCTACCCAGTGCCTTCTTCAGTTGCTCAACTGGACTCCCGCTCAGTTGACCTTGCTCCCCCAGGCTGGAGCAGGCGGACCTCATTCTGGCCATGCTGGACGCCTCTGACCTGGCCTCTCCCTCCAGTTGCAACTTCCTGGCCACCGTCGTAGCCTCTGTGGGAGCCCAGAGCCCCAGTGACAGCAGCCAGCGCCTCCTCCTGGTGCTGAACAAGTCGGACCTGCTGTCCCCAGAGGGCCCAGGTCCGCGTCCTGACCTGCCCCCGCACCTGTTGCTGTCCTGTCTGACGGGAGAGGGTCTGGACGGCCTCCTGGAGGCGCTGAGGAAGGAGCTAGCTGCAGTGTGAGCCCCCCTCCCACTCCCAGCCTCCCCTGATCCACAGTTCAAGTGTGGGCTGGCCCACTGGCTTTGGGCGCGTGCCTGTCCCTCAACTTCAATTTCTGTACCTACAAAATGGGTGCAACCATTTCCCCTTAAAGGGATGGTTGTAAAAGGTTAGGAGGGACCATGTCTCTTGTCTCTTCCAGGTGTGGGGACCCGTCCACCGGTTCCCCGCTCCTGACCCGCGCAAGGCACCAGCACCACCTCCAGGGTTGCCTGGATGCCCTCAGTCACTACAAGCCGTCAAAAGACCTGGCCCTGGCGGCAGAGGCGCTGCGGGTGGCCCGGGGTCACCTGACCCGGCTCACAGGTGGAGGGGGTACCGAGGAGATCCTGGACATCATCTTCCGGGACTTCTGCGTGGGCAAGTGACGGGATCCAAGGAAGTCGCACCCAAGTTGCGCTGAGACCCGGGAGACCCGGGGGATCTGGAAACAGTTTAGGCCAATCGGGATTCTCTTTCACCTGGGAAAGAACTTGATTCTCAAACAATGAAGCAACACAGCTGAGAGGTAGTGAGCTCCCTGCAGGGGCTCCCTGGAGATTCAGGCCCTGGAATGGGGCTGAATGGAGGTCCCGTTGGACCCTGGATGCTGGGGCATCCGTGTTGGGATGGAGACAGGAGGATCTCCGGATATTTGTTTCATGGTTTTTAATTTATTTTGCAAATACCAAAGGAATGTAAAAAAAAAAAAAAACTCAGGTGCTGAAGTGTTTCCCTCCGTCCCTCCCTCCCTCCCTCCCTCCCTTCCTTCCTTCCTTCCTTCCTGGCGTGCAGTGGTGCATCTCACTGCAACCTCCACCTGCCGGACTCAATCGATTCTCCTGCCTCAGCTTCCTGAGTAGCTGGTATTACAGGCATGTGCCAGCATGCCTGGCTAGTTTTTGGTTTTGGTGTTGTTGTTGTTGTTTATTTTTATTTTGTTTGTTTGTTTTTTTGAGACAGAGACTCACTCTGTCGTTCAGGCTGAAGTGCAGTGGGCAAGTGGCACGTCTCGGCTCACGGCAACTTCTGCCTCCCGGGTTCAAGCGACTCTCCTGCCTCAGCCTCCTAGTAGCTGGGCTATAGGTGTGGTGCCCCATGCCTGGCTAATTTTTGTGTTTTTAGTAGAGATGGGTTTCACCATGTTGGCCAGGCTGGTCTCGAATGCCTTGACCTCCAAGCATCCACTTGCCTCAGGCCTCCAAAGTGCTAGGATTACAGGCATGAACACAGTGCCTGGACTTTTTTTTTTTTTTTCTTTAAGTAAAGATGGGATCTTGCTGTGTTGCCCAGGCTGGTCTCAAACTCTTGGCTCAGGTGATCCTCAGACCTCAGCCTCCTAAAGAGCTGGATCACATGTGGGAGCCACACACCTGGCCTGATGGCTCTTGTGAGCTATA